ACCCCTCCTTGGGTTTCCGAGGTGGTATCACTACAGAAGTAGATTGCCTAACCTTCCTTCTGAGAAGTGGCTGGTGGGTTTGAACTGCCAGCCTTCTGGTTAGCAGTCAAATGCCATAGGCATTATGCCACCAGAAATCCCAAAAAGCCAATAGTTGGGGCAATAAAAGCAACTCAGAAAATGACTGTTACAAGCACTCACTGTTCATATCCAAGGTCATGGCAAGCCACGTTGGCCTGTGTTATGCTCCAGCCATTTTTACAGATGATATATATAAGCTGTCATCATGTAGACACATTCTCTAACCACAATACAATTAAATAAGAAATCATTAATAAAAAAATAACCAAAGGGAGGGAAAAAAAGATAACCAAAAGCAAGCTAATGTACTTACTTGGAAAGTGAAAAAGAGACCTCCAGATTATTCATGAGTCAAAGACAAAATTATACTGATAATTAGAAAATATTTTGAACTAAACAATAAATAGGAGCTCTCGTAGCATAGTGCCTAAAGCACTTGACTGGTAACCAGAAGGCTGGCGGTTCAAACCCACCAGTCACTCCTCGGAAGGAAGGTTGGGCAATCCTACTTCTGTAGTGATACTGCCTCGGAAACCCAAGGAAGGGTCTCTCTGAGTTGGGGCCGACTTGACGGCAAACAACAAGAACAACAAACAATAAATAAACACAGAGATTTGTGGCATGCAATGGAGCTTTACCTGGAGAGAAACTTAGACCTTGAGTGCTTATATTAGAAAACAAGAACATTTGAAAACTGATTAATTAAACATTCAACTCAAGGAATTAGGGGGGAAAAACCCCACAATAATTCAAAGAAGAAAGGAGAATTAAAGATAACAGCAAAGATTAATAAAATATAAAATAAACATGAGTCAATTGACAAATACAGAAGTCAAAAAGACTAATCAAATATACAGTCCTCTATAGATCAATAAGGAGCTCTGGTAAAATAGTGGCTAAGACACTTGCCTGCTAACCAGACGGCTGGCGGTTCAAACCCACCAGCCACTCCTCGGAAGGAAGGTTGGGCAATCCTACTTCCGTAGTGATACTGCCTCGGAAACCCAAGGAGGGGTCGCTATGAGTCAGGTTTGACTCGACGGCACATAACAACAACAACATAGATCAGTAACAAAAGAGAAAAAGCATAAATTGAGCTATATTACATGTGAAAAAGTGGACATAGAGTAGAGATGGAAATGAGTAGAGATAGATAGTATTCATTTGCAGCCCACTGAATCAGCAAAGTGTTTTTGAGTCCAGATTTTTCTAACAAACAGATGCTCTGTACTGGACAGTGTTCTAAGTGTGAACACATTTAATCTTCATAACAGTATTATCAGATGAGTAGTCAATATTCTCTGTTTACATAAGAGGAAAGAGAGGTACAAGGAGATTCTCCTCCATGCCCAAGAAAACAAACCTGTAGCTGTTGAGTTGATTCCAACTCATAACAACCCTATAGGACAGAGTAGAACTGCTCATAGGGCTTCCATGGCTGTAAATCTTTATAGAAGCAGACTGCAAATGGCTTGTGGGTTGAAATTGCCAACATTTCAGTTAATAGTCAAGTGCTTAATCAGTACACCACCAGAGGGTTTCTTGGAAGGGATTGCTGTTGCTGTTATGTGCCATCGAGTCAGACCTGACTCATAGCGACCCCTCCTTGGGTTTCTGAGGCAGTATCACTACAGAAGTAGATTGTCTAACCTTCCTTCCGAGGAGTGGCTGGTGGATTTGAACCACCAGCCTTCTGGTTACCAGTCAAGTGCTTTAGGCACTACACTATCAGAGCTACTTGGAAGGGATGAGGTAACTAAAAAGCCAATGCAACAAATGCAACACACTACCATTGAGTCAGATCTGACTCATAGCGACCCCTCCTTGGGTTTCCAAGGTGGTATCACCACAGAAGTAGATTGCCTAACCTTCCTTCTGAGAAGTGGCTGGTGGGTTTGAACTGCCAGCCTTCTGGTTAGCAGTCAAATGCTGTAGGCATCATGCCACCAGAGATCCCAAAAAGCCAATAGTTGGGGCAGTAAAATAAACTCAGAAAATGACTGTTACAAGCACTCACTGTTCATATCCAAGGTCACGGCAAGCCACGTTGGCCTGTGTTATGCTCCAGCCATTTTTACAGATGAATGTCTTCTTATCTTGGTCCACAAGTTTTACTTCAACAATCCCTTCTGAATTTGTGTTTCCATATTTCAAGGAAACATGGAATTGTCCTAAAATAAAAACCCAAAGAGAGAGAAATATTTAGGCATTCATTTTTTCCCTCTTGAGTAAAAACCTTAAAAATAGTAAAATATATGATGTCATATTAACTTTGGACACCACCATGATTTTAACAAATAATAATAAACACTATTTTATGATTGTTTCCTGTGTGTCAGTGGCTGTGCTTGGTTATATAAAATACCACTGTCTTAGTTACCCAGTGCTGCTGTGACAGAAATTCCACAAGTAGATGGCCTTAACAAACAGAAATCTATTCTCTCACAGTTTTGGAGGCTAGAAGTCTGAATTCAGCTTTAGGGTAAGGCTTTCTTTCTCTGTGGAGTCTGAGGGAAGTTCTTGTTTCCTATTCAACATCTGTGGGGCCATTGTTCCTTGGAGATTTCCATATATCTTGGCACCAAGCATCCTCTGGGTCTAGGAGGGACCCTGGATTCAAAGGATGCACTCCACTCCTAGCTCTCTTTTCTCGGTGGTAGTCAGGTCCTTGCCTTCTCTGCTTCATTATCTTTCTTTTTATCTCTTGTAAGGTAAAAGGTATGACTCAAGCAAGGGTGGTGACTTGAGTAAGAGTGGTGACTTGAGTAAGGGTGGTGAATCAAAATATACCTCACCCTAATCCTATATCATTAACAAATACAGAGGTTAGGGTTTAAAACATGTTACAACATGAAGGATAATTAGATTACAAAATGAAGGACAACCTCACAATCCGGGGAATGATGGCCTAGCTGTTGACACATATTTTTGAAAGACGTAATTCAATCTATGACAACTTTAAAATTCTCACAACCACCCTATGAAGATTAAGCCTATATTATCCTCATTTTGCACAAGAGAAACTAAGGCCAAGAGACATTACATTACTAACTCAAATGATGAAGCCGGGAATTTGAACCTGCTATGTTAATCCTAAAGGAACCCTAGCGACACAGTGGTTAAGTGCTTGACTGCTAACCAAAAAGTCAGTGATTTGAACCCACCAGCTGCTGTGGGGAGGAAGATGTAGCAGGTTGCTTCCATAAAGATTACAGCCTTGGAAACCCTATACCAAACCAAAAATCCAAACCCATTGCTGTTGAGTTGATTCTGACTCATAGTGACCCTAT